TCTATTATTTTAGAATAGAATTTAAACATGAATGAATTTAAATTTCATGATAAAATTTTATAATTATTGCAATTGTTTATATATGTTTTTTAAGGTCATTGTAAATGTGTTGTTGCCATATAAGTTACTTGAGAGAATTTAACTGGAATCATTACTGATGCTTATATGTATAAGAAAATGAACTTTCATAGTCCAACTCTTGGCTACCCCATGGACTATAGCCCGCCAGGCTCCTCTGCCCATGGGATTCTCCAGGCAAGAATGCTGGAGTGGGTTGCTATTCCTTTTTCCAGGGGATCTTTCCAACCCAAGGATCAAACCCAGGTCTCCTGTATTGCAGGCAGAGTCTTAACCATCTGTGTCACCAGGGAAGCCCAAGGTATTTGAGAGAAATTAACCACAATCATTACTGATGTTTACAAGGTTAAGAAAATGAACTTTTATAGTTTTATCTTTTAGATAATTTAATAAGTTGAAAATTAAATTACAAAAAAAAAATAGTGGGGGGTTATGCTGCATCTCCTGAGAGCAGAGTACTTGAATAAGTAATCTGGAATTCTTTTGAACAGGATACTTTCTATTACCCTTTATCTATTTATCATTTATTTATTAATAGTGATTCATGGATATTTATTTTATACTTTTGGTTATAACCCAATACTACATCCTTGTTTTCCTGGTCAAATTGTTTCAGCTTTGGAAATTGGAAGCTTTCTGTTGGCTCATGTGCACCTTATTTTTTCTTTTTTTTTTTTTAGCAGTTTCTTGTTTTCTGTTTTAAATATTATTTGTGAATACACTGAGAAACACTTCAAATAACACTCTAATTTTTTTGTTTTTAAATATCAAGCATAATTTCTTGATAAAACCCCAGTGGGAGGATAATCTATTATCCTCACCAAAGAGTAACCCCTTTTCTTACTCATTTATGTATTTATTTGTTTACTTTTGGCTGCTCTGGGTCTTCATTTCTGCGAGGGCCTTTCTCTAGCTTTGGCGACCTGGAGCTACTTTCTGTTGCAGTGCACAGGCTTCTCTCATTGTGAAGCATGGACTCTAGGGCACTTGGGCTTCAGAAGTTGCAGCATGCAGGCTCAGAAGTTGTGGCTCATAGGCTTAATTGCTCCTCTTCATGTGGAATCTTCCTGGCTAGGGATCAAACCTAAATCCCCTGCATTGGCCAGCGGACTCTTATCCACTTCACCAAGAAGTCAAGTCCAAATATTAAGCCTTTCTATTCCTCTTTTTTGCTCCTGACATTCCACATTTCCTTCTGTTATCATTCGCCTTCTCCTTTCAAGAACTTCCTTTAGCAATTTTTTTATTAAGTTCACTAAGAGCACATTCACTCAATTTTCCTTCATCTGAGGATGGCTTCATTTCATTTTTATTCCTGAAGTATAGTCTCACTGGATGTAGAATTCTATTAACAGTTCCTTTCTCTTAGCACTTGAAAAATGTGCTGTTTCCTTCTGGCCTCTATGGCTTCTAATGAGAAATCACAAGAATTACAGACATTCTGCCCAGGAGCCAATGTATCATTTTTCTATGACTGCTGGCCGCATTCAAGAGTTGTTTTTTGGTTTTTTCTTCTAGTTTTCAGTAATTTGATTTATGATGTTTTGGAGCATGATGATATTTTGGGGCCTACTGTTTTGGGGATTGACTCAACTTCTTCAAACTGTAGGTTATACCTTTCCCAAATTTGTGAAGCTTTCAATCATTATCTATTCAAATATTTTTTTCAGCCCTGCCCTCTTCCACCTCTCCTAAATTTTAGATCTACTCTTAATGTCTTACCAGCCTTTCAGATTATGTTTATTTAAAAATTCTTTTTTTTTTTTAATTTAAAAGGGCTTAGTTGTGGAAAAGAACATATAAAGTTTACCATTTAAACAATTTACCACCTGAACAATTTCTAACTGTACAGTTCAGTAGTGTTAAGCATATTTACAGTACTGTGAAATCAATATCCAGAAGTTTTCATATGGGAAAACAAACTCTATAACCAGCAAACAACAGCACCCCATTTCTTCCTCCACCCATGCCCCAGCAACCATCAGTCTGCCTTCTGTTGATATGAATTTGATTTCTCTACATACTTCAGATAAGTGAAATCATACAGTATTTTTAAGACATTCTGCCCAGGAGCCAATGTATCATTTTTCTATGACTGCTGGCCGCATTCAAGAGTTGTTTTTTGGTTTTTTCTTCTAGTTTTCAGTAATTTGATTTATGATATTTTGGAGCATGATGATATTTTGGGGCCTACTGTTTTGGGGATTGACTCAACTTCTTCAAACTGTAGGTTATACCTTTCCCAAATTTGTGAAGCTTTCAATCATTATCTATTCAAATATTTTTTTCAGCCCTGCCCTCTTCCACCTCTCCTAAATTTTAGATCTACTCTTAATGTCTTACCAGCCTTTCAGATTATGTTTATTTAAAAATTCTTTTTTTTTTTTAATTTAAAAGGGCTTAGTTGTGGAAAAGAACATATAAAGTTTACCATTTAAACAATTTACCACCTGAACAATTTCTAACTGTACAGTTCAGTAGTGTTAAGCATATTTACAGTACTGTGAAATCAATATCCAGAAGTTTTCATATGGGAAAACAAACTCTATAACCAGCAAACAACAGCACCCCATTTCTTCCTCCACCCATGCCCCAGCAACCATCAGTCTGCCTTCTGTTGATATGAATTTGATTTCTCTACATACTTCAGATAAGTGAAATCATACAGTATTTTTCTTTTTGTGACTAGCTTATTTCACTTAGCATAATGTCCTCAAGGTTCACTCACATCGTACCATGTGGCAGAATTTTCTTCCTTTTTAAGAATGAATAGTATTCTAGGACTTACTTGGTGGTCCAGTGGTTAGGACTCTGTTTTTCCAAAGCTAGGGACACGGGTTCCATCCTTGGTCAGGGAACTAAGATCCCACAAACCACGCCGATCAGTTAAAAAAAGAAGAGTAGTATTCCATTGTATGTATATATTATATTTTATTTATCCATTTATCTTTCTATGGACATTTGGGTTGCTTATTCCTCTTGCCTACTGTGAACAGTGCTACTATGAATATGGAAGTGCAAATATTTCTTTAAGGTCTTGCTATTAATTCTTTTGATATATACTCAGAAGTAGAATTGCTGGATCACATAGTAATTCTATTTTTAATTTTTGAGGAACTGCCATACTGTTCTACATAGCAGCTGCACCATTTCACATTATTTTGTGTCTAGTTTCTTTGAGCATTGTGCTTGAGATTCATCCATGTTGTTGCCAATAATAAGACTTTGTTTATTCTCATTACTATGTAGCACTCCATTAGGTGAAAAATCCTGCCATTATTTATTCTACTATAGACTTTGGGGTTGTTTCCAGGTTTGAGCTATTTAAAAGAGTTCTGTTATCAACATTCTTCTGTGTTTCTGGTGTTAAAGAAAATACGTGCATGAGTGGTAAGTCACTTCAGTCATGTCCGACTCTGTGCCATCCTATGGACTGTAGCCTGCCAGGCTCCTCTGTCCATGAGACTCTCCAGGCAAGAATACTGGAATGAGTTGTCATGCCCTCCTCAAAAAAAAAAAAAAAAGTATGTATACACAGTTCTGCCAGGTTAAATTCCTAGGAGTGGAATGATATTCTGGTGACTGTTATATTATGGTTTTGATTTAAAATTTCCTGATGACTAGTGGAATTAGCACAGAACTTTTCAAATGTTTATGGGCCATTTGTGTATCTCCTCTTCTGAAGTGTCTATCCTATATTTTGCCCATTTTTCTGAAAGTTTGCTTCTTATGACTTTGCAAGAGTTCTTAATAAATTCTGGATATGAGTTCTTTGTCAGATACATGTGTTACGATATCTTCTCCTCTTTGTGGCTTTGTTCTTCACTCTCTAAATGAGGTTTCTTATGATAAACTGATGTTCTGACTATTGACAAAGTTCAACTTTTCATTTTTATTTGTCTTTTAACATTTTCTATAACATCATTTAGAAAATCCTTACCTAATCCAAAGTCATTAAAATACCATGTTTTCTTCTAAGAGCTTCATTGTTTATCTTTTATATTTAGGTCTGCAGTCCATCTGGAATCAATTTTTGTGTACAATTTGAGATCTGCATCAATAGACATTTCTTCCTCATATGACTTTCCAAATGACCCAGTACCATTTTTTGAAGACCATCCTTTCCCATTCCACTGCTGTATTTACCCACACCATCTGCAATAGCTGTAGAGCATTCCATTCTAAGGCACTCTCATAACTTATTCACCATTCTTCCATGGGATATTTGACTTATTTTCTGGCCTCTGCCATCATCAAACAGGGTGACAATCTCTGTATGGACATCAAGGCCTTCTTCTGAAATTGTTAAAGCAGAGTACAATTTCTGAGCCAGAAAAATATTTATTTTTTTGAAGAATTATTAAATTATACGGTTCACATTTCAAAAAATCCAAATAGGCCCAGTGAAAAGACAGCCTCCTATCTTGTCCCCAATCCTTCTGGTCCCTTCACCAGGTAAGCACAATCATGAAATCTTGAGTATTTTCCAGACATCTTGCAATACATGAACAAGCACTATTTATATTCTTTTCTTCTTTTCTTTTTACATAGCTAGTGGCACTCAATATACTTTGTTCTTCCTCTTGTTCTTTTGACTTAACAATACATCTTAGAAATCTTCTCATTACTGTACATAGAAAAGCATCCTGGTTCATTTTTAAGGTAGCGTAATTGATGCGTGTATCACAATTTAGACACTCTCCTATCGATGGACATCTATGCTGTTTCTAAGTTTTTGCAATTCATCTGCACTTCAATGATTGGCTTTTCACGTGTCATTTCACATGTGTGCAATGTATCTGTTGGAGGAGGTTCTAGAAGTGGGTCAAAGAGGATATACAGCTGTGATGTGATTATTTTATTATTAATCCGCCCCTCCCCGCGCGGTGCTCGCCTCCTCCCGGAAGAGCGGCTCCACCCTCCCGCCAACTTAGCGCCTTCCCACCGCCTCTCGGCTTTGCCCTTGGGCTGCGTGGCCCCGCCCCGTTGCGTAACCTGGCATCACTGGTCACGTGGTGCTCGGCAGAGCCGAGAGGGATCAGCGGTGACCATCACTCCCGCCCGCACGGTCTGCGCACGGATGACTTCCGCTGAGTGAAGCGCACTGAGGCGCGATGGCGAGGTCTTAAGGAAAGGCACTGAGAGGCCCGGACACCATCCCTAGTTGCCCTCGGCCTCCTGGCCCGGGCGCTAGTTTCCGCGCCGTTGCTAGGCAGCCGCGTCTGGGGCGGGAGCCGGGGCGGGCTAACGCGGAAGGGTCCGGTGCCAGGGAAGGCGCTGTGACTGCGGAGGGTCAGGGTTCAGGGCAGAGGGCCATGGAGCAGTACTGCATCTTGGGGCGCATAGGGGAGGGTGCGCACGGCATCGTCTTCAAAGCCAAGCACGTGGAGGTGAGCATCCAGCCCCTTCCTCCTTCGGTTCCATTGAGATCTCCCCGCCTTCCTGACCCATGCTTGGGCCATAGCTTCTGCCTCCCGGTAGTTCGTCCTGGCGTGCGCCCGCCTCTTTTGCCCGCGGAAGGGAGGGCTTCCAAGTTGCGGCCAGCTACCAACCTTGCTTTCAGCGAGTTCCCCTAGGACCCTGGCGTGGATATCTCTGAGTTGTTTGCCCAGCTCTGCGCCTCTTGGGCCTGATTTCCCTCCAGTACGGGTTGAGGGGCGCGTTCTACCCCCACGAGGACCTCAACCCTAGGTGTCGCACCCCTTTTTTCAGCCGGGACGGGCTGGCAGCGTCTGCATTCTGTCCCAAACAGACTGGAGAGATCGTTGCCCTCAAGAAGGTGGCCCTGCGGCGACTGGAGGATGGCATCCCCAACCAGGTCTTGCGGGAGATCAAGGCCCTGCAGGAGATCGAAGACAGTCAGTATGTGAGTGGGGCTGCTGTTCTGAGGGGCTGTCCCGCCCTCCTTGCTCACTCCCACTCTGAGGGCCTGCGGTCACTGTGTTGCCTTGTTTGCATCCTCACCCTTCAACTCACTGCCTTTCTTGTCCACATTCGTTCACCCAGTTATTTCATTCCTCACTCATTCCCTCTTGTTCACCCATTTATTTCTTGCCTACTTGTTTATGCATTGACTGACTTATCCTTTTTCTCAAAGCGTACAGTGATTTCTCGTGGTAATGATTATTGCCACCTGGTGAGCTCCTGTTAGGTTCTGCAGGCTGGGTTAACTGCTTTATGTACACGGTCCAGCTTGTGTGAGCTGGTTGGAGGGCCCATGGGAAGTTGGTGATACAGTCCTAGGTCCTGTGTAGCAGGCCTGAAGGGTCTATCTTTAAAACACTCCAGATATTCCCCTGGCCCAGGCCATCCTCACCTCTCATCAAAACAACTGCAACAGCTCCCCCTTCCCTCCTCCACCTTCCCTGGCGCTACTCCCACTCCACAGTCAAGAAAATGTAGATGAGTCCGCTCCCCAGCTTGAGAAGCTCCAGTGGCTTCTTTTCACTCTGAAAGAACTCTCTCTATCTGCTCCAGCTCATGCCAGCCTATTCATTCATTCAGCAAAATGTCTTATATGTCTCTCCGAAAACAGCACGGTCGAGACTCCAGAAGCGTAGAACAGAGCAGCCTCCTTCCTAGTCTTGCCTTGGGGCCTTGTGTTTGCTGTCCCCCTGCCCACAGCTCCTTCCCAGATCCCTGTATAACAGACCTCGCCCCATCTGTCCTCTTCTGTTTTCATCAGAATACCCTATAGGTTTGTTAGTTTCTCAGTCATTTGTTCCCCAAGCTCCTTAAAGCCCTTGAGAACCCACTGGCCCTCCCTCCTGCTCACTGCTGTGTAGCCAGCCCTGTGACCTTGTGGGCCCCCAGTTTATGTGGCATGTCTCCTGCTGTCCCAGTGCTGGGAGCTGTGATCACTTGTGTGTATGTGTGTTTCCAGATGATTTTCCAGTTTGTGGGCTGGGTGGGGGATCAGACACTGCCCTATGTGGCCTTTCTTAGACCTCCTTCCTCCTGAGGGTTTGCTAGAGCTAAATCATTTCAGTCGTGTCTGACTCTTTGCGACCTCATGGACTGTGACCCGCCAGGCTTCTTGTCCATGGAATTCCCCAGGCAAGAATACTGGAGTGGGCTGCCATGTCCTCCTCTAGGGGATCTTCCCAACTCAGGGATCAAACCACATCTCTTAGGTCTCTCGCATTGGCAGGCGAGTTCTTTACCACTCGTGCCACCTGAGTGCTTACCACGGGGTTCCAGTAGGGACTTGCCTTCTTCTGGGAGAAGGGAGCAAGAGAGCACCCAGCTCCCTGATCCTGAGCTCAGGTCTCTTGTCACCTTCTCTGCCTGCCTGGTCCTCTGTTGGCGCAGGGGCTGAGGGTCCGGGAGAGTCTGAGCCATGTGAGTCTGGAGGCTGACGGGGTACCCCATTGCAGGTTGTGCAGCTGAAGGCCGTGTTCCCACATGGCGCGGGCTTCGTGCTGGCCTTCGAGTTCATGCTGTCCGATCTGGCTGAGGTGGTGCGCCACACCCAGAGGCCACTGGCCCAGGCGCAGGTCAAGAGCTACTTACAGATGCTGCTCAAGGGCGTCGCCTTCTGCCATGCCAACAACATTGTGCATCGGGTCAGTGCCACCATGGGCTGGGGTGGGCCTGTGGATGGCTGGGCTGGAAGTAGGCCAGCCCTTGATAAAGGGCATGGTTTGGGAGGGGACAGAAGGGGCAGGGCCTGGGGACAAGTGATCGGGGTTGTGGCCCTGGAGGAGACCGGGTCCTGAGCTCACCCGGGTGTCCAGCCTGCCAATCCCTCCTGTCTCGAGGTCCACTGGGGGCTCTAGAGGGACTGATGCTTCTTTTGGTGCCCTCAGGACCTGAAGCCAGCCAACCTGCTTATCAGTGCCTCAGGCCAGCTCAAGATAGCGGACTTTGGCCTGGCCCGGGTCTTTTCCCCAGACAGCAACCGCCTCTACACGCACCAGGTGGCTACCAGGTAGGGAGGACCAGTTTCTGGGCGGGATATGGCAAAGGATAGGCCCCCAACCTTGCTACTGGGGAAGAGGTGATTTTGGACAGAGATGTTCTGTCCAAACAAGTGCTACTGGGGCTGGCGTGGGGGTCAGGGTGGCCTTCCAGGGCAGCTTTCTGACAGACCAGTGACCTACCTGTGACCCCTGCCCTCCTCTCATAGGTGGTACCGAGCTCCCGAGCTCCTGTATGGTGCCCGCCAGTACGATCAGGGTGTCGATCTCTGGTGAGACTCCTGTGGGCTAGACAAGGGGGGATGTGGGTAGCTGAGTCACCTCTCCTCCTGGACATTGAGGTCTCTAAGCTGTTTGGGGGTTTTCCTGCTGTGAGCTCTAGGTTGCCTTGGGAGTGTCTCCTCTGGTTAGAGTATCTCTGAGGAGTTTGGAGTCAGTGATCCTCCCCATGACAGTTTTGAGTTGGAAGGGGTCAAGTGGGATTGGAGTGATTGTCCCTGTAGGAAGTTTCTGGGCTGAGGTTGGAAAGGCAGTCCGAGGCTAAGCCGGCATATAGGGGCTGACATCCCAGGATGTAATGTCCCTGAGTTACGCAGAGGCCTGGGTCCCTGGATATGAAGGCCCTGAACCTTTATTTGGAGTCAGATGCATGGCAACTCACTCTAGTATTCTTACCTGGAGAATTCCATGAACATAGGAGCCTTGTGGGCTACAGGCCTTAGGATCACAGAGTCGGACATGACTGACTTACCTGGTAGCTCAGTTGGTAAAGAATCCACCTGCAATGCAGGAGACTCTGGTTTGGTTCCTGGTTCAGGAAGATCCGCTGGAGAAGGGATAGGCCAAAAAAAAAAAAAGAAGGGATAGGCTACCCATTCGAGAATTCTTGGGCTTCCCTGGTGACTTAAATGGTAAAGAATCCTCCTGCAGTGCGGGAGACCTGGGTTCGATCCCTGGGTTGGGAAGGTCCCCTGGAGAAGGGAAAGGCTACCCACTGCAGTATTCTTGCCTGGAGAATTCCATGGACAGAGAAACCTGGCAGGCTACAATCCTTGGAGTCGCAAAGAAGCAGACACGACTGAGTGACTTTGACTTCACAAGAGTTCGAGATCTGGGGGCTATTTTGGAGGTCTGCCCCAGAATGGGAGGGCGTGGCTGTGTGTCCCAGAGTATGAGGTTCTGAGAAGTTCCCCGAACTATTGGGTTGATGTGTGTTTCAGAGTTGAGGCCTGAGACCTATTGAGAGAAGGGGCTGTGCTCTGTACTCTAGGCTTGAAGCTTTGGACTGTGTGAAGCTGGGGATCTGTAGGCTACTTTGTGGGTGTCTTGACCGCAGGGGAAGGTGTGGGTGCCGGTGTGGGGAAACCTGTGTCCCTGGTGTGAGATCTCTGAGATGTTTGGCTTCTGTACCTGCAGGGCCGTGGGCTGCATCCTGGGGGAGCTGTTGAACGGGTCCCCCCTTTTCCCAGGAGAGAATGACATCGAACAGCTTTGCTGTGTGCTTCGAATCTTGGGCACCCCCAGTCCTCAAGTCTGGCCGGTTTGCAGGGGCATTTGGTAGCATTTGGAGGGGTGGGGGTGGGTGTCCTCTCTTCTCCCAGCAGCTCGTAACTCCCCCGCCCTGCATCTTCTGTCTTCTGTCTCATGGCCCCACACCTCCTAGACCCTCCCAGACCTTGGTCCTGGCCCAGCGTGGGATCTCCTCCATCCCTGATCTGCTGGAGGGTGGAGGACCAGGGCCCAGCCCCTACTCCTTCCTGCTAATCCCCAGCACACACACAGCCCTTACCAAGCTGGGCAGGGAGCAGGCGCCTGAGATGTGCACATGTTCACTCACATCGTGCTGTGAGCTCATGATGTCATGAGTGATGTGGTGCGAGCAGGGGCAGGTGGATGGGGGATCCGTGAGTGAGTGGCAGCAAGTGGGTGACAGGAAGCAAGAACTGACGCCTGGGGGTGGCTGGCGGGGTGGGCGTCAGCCCTGATGAGCCCCCTTCCCCTCCAGGAGATCACTGAGCTGCCCGACTACAACAAGATCTCCTTCAAGGAGCAGGCGCCTGTGCCCCTGGAGGAGGTGCTGCCCGACGCCTCTCCTCAGGCCTTGGACCTGCTAGGGCGGTTCCTCCTCTACCCACCACAACAGCGCATCTCTGCCTCCCAGGTAGGGAGACACCCATTGCCCTGACCCTCCTTGTTTGTGCCCCTGTGACCCAGCAGATTGAGGTCCTCAGAACCTGTGATGGGCTGGGAACAGCACACCTGGAGACAGGGGAGGGAGGGCGTGGAGGTGTGCCTCTCCTGAGCAGACCCTGGAGTGGCAGCAGGTGGCTAGGAGTGGCCGTATTAAAAGGGCATGCCCACCTCGCTGAAGAGTGCATCTTGCTTCTTCATCCCTTTATTCCTTCAAGAAGAATTTACTGACATCTGGCATGTGCCCAGCATCATCTTGGGTCCTGATCCTGAGTGAACAGACGTGACTTGTTCCTCTGCGCTCTCCAACCTGTGGTGGGGCAGGGCAGCTGGTCTGTGGACCTCAAGGGGAGGGATGTTGGGACTGACACTGGGGTCGTGCAAGTCTTCTGGAGAAGGGCAGGGGGAGTCTATCATCCCAAGAGAAATGATGAGCAGAGGCCTGGAGAGGAGGACCCAGAAGGGGTAAGCTGTGGCTGCAGGTGAGGGAGGCGGGGAGAACCTGGGCTGCTGGCTTATGGTGTCAGGCCTCTGTCATGTGTAGCTGTCCATCTGACCTCCTGGCAGCCTCACCTCCCTGCCCTTGGAACAAGCAGTGTGTTTACATACACCGTCTGCAAGTTCCAGTGTCAGCAAGGCCTTTAGGATGTACTGAAGCCAACCGAGGCTTCCCAGGTAGCACCAGGGATAAAGAATCTGCCTGCCAATGCAGGAGACATTAAAAAAAAGACGCGGGTTCGATCCCTGGGTCAGGAAGATCCTCTGGAGAAGGGAATGGTACCTCACTCCCGTATTCTTGCCTGGGAAATCCTAAGGACAGAGGAGCCTGGCAGGCAAAGAGTTGGACACGACTGAAGTGACTTAGCACGCATGCACAAAGCCAACCGACCACTTCTCAGCCCCTTGCTGCTGCCTCCCGTCTAAGCGCCCCCTGCCTCCCCGCACGTGCCCAGTTGCCTCGCAGAGTCTGCTTCTCCTCCTGCCCATTCAGTCTCTCCTCCACCCGGCAGAGAGAGGGGCCTTGTCCAGGCAGGCTCTCACATCTTCCCCTGCAGGGCTCTCTCCTCAGCAGAGAATTCCAGGTCCTAGTGGCCCACAGGCATCACACACGTGGGACTGTCACATCTGTGACCCTGCAGCTCCCTTTTCCTTGCCCACTCCCTGGGACCCCAGGCCTCCTTCAGGTCCTAAGGTCTATGCACTTCTGTCCCAGAGCCTCACTCATTCAGCTTTCAGATCTCTGCTCAACTGCATCAGATGATTGGTGCTGTGGGAAAGAGAAAGTCAGAGCGTGGACAAGGAAAACCAGGGTGGCTGCAGGCCTGAAGAACGGGAGGGTAGGCCCCGATCTGATGCACTGTTCATCTTACTTTATCTTGTTTATCGCCCCCTGTGCTGTGCGGTGCTTAGTCGTTCAGGCGTGTCCAAGCCCTGACTATATGGAAGACTTGAAGGCAGAGCTCTTTGTTCTGTTCACTGCTACATCTCCTGTCTTTGGAGCAGTGCTGAAACAGTGAACACTCAGAGCTGTTGGGATCATCTTGAATGGAGAATGCATGAATGAGAAATTTCTTCCGGGCAGTATTCACATCCCCCACTGTCCCCCCAGAGGGAAGTGAGCTGAGCTGGAAGGCTGCAGTGACCGGTCTCCTTTTGCTGTCTCTTGTTCGCTCCCCTCAGGCCCTCCTGCACCACTACTTCTTCACCGCTCCCCTGCCTGTCCACCCCTCGGAGCTGCCGATCCCCCAGCGTCCAGGGGGACCTGCCCCCAAGGCCCACCCAGGACCTCCCCACGTCCATGACTTCCACGTGGACCGGCCCCTCGAGGAGTCACTGTTGAACCCGGAGCTGATTCGGCCTTTCATCCCGGAGGGCTGAGATGCAGGGCCAGGCCCGGTTGACTTGTCCCCTGCGCCCCACTTCCCACCCCTCCCAAGGACAACCCAAGCCACTGGTTCCTCTGCTCCAGCCTGATTTCGACCACAGTGGCCCTGGTCCTGGCCAGACGATGAGGCCATCCAGCCCCAGCAGAGGGCGCCCTCAACCTATGCTGTTGGCCTCCCACCTATGCACTGCTGAGGGATCCATCAGAAGAGGGCAGTGAGTTCCACTACCATGCCTGCCATCATCAGGGATTCCACTGGTCAGGGATTGTCCCAGTAGAACCATCTAAGGGAGCCCTGAGTTTAAGATGTCCTCATGTTGGAAACCCAAGTGAGAAGAAAAGTTTGGTTTGATTTTGTTCTCAGACATTAAACACTAGTTCAATTTTGAGATTTATTATAAAAACCCTGAGTAGTTCTATGTGATATACGCCCCTCTTCCATAGAAGAGAGAGAAGAAGTTCATATAGAGAGAAGTGGCCCAGGTGGCATCATCTCTTGGCCCTTGCTTCTCTCTGGTCCTTTGGAAAGTGGCCCCATTCATGGCTACTTTAGTCTTGGGGGCTTCCTAGGTTCTTCATGTAACAGAGCTCCCATTAGAGGTGAGGTGGCAGAAGTCAAGGCCCAGGGATGGCTCAAGTGGGGACCCAGTAGTGACCTCCACACCTTAAACTGGTTTACCAGCATCACCCTCAGGATAAGGGTAGGCTGGGACCACATGAACCTCCTCTTCACTCAGAAATATCTTGCAAATAAGACAGGCATTCCTGGAATTCATTTATTTATTCAGTAAATACCAAAACAATCTGAACTTGCTCTTGTCTTTCTTCTTTAATAATTTGGTAAGCCAATTCTAAAATATATATGTGGAAATGAAAAGGTTAAGAGGAGGGAGAAGCAGGAGAAAAGGAGAAAAGCAATGAAAGGATTTACTGTATCAGACACATACCAAGACATATCATAGGGCTATAGTAAATAAGACAGTGTGCTATTTGTTCATGGATAGATTAAAAACAGACAAGTGAGAGAAACTTACTGGCAGTCTTTTATTCAAAATATACATTTTGTGCTCATACGTATAAACTTCTGCAAGCGCTGAGGTTACAGAGGTGACTAACTGCCACCATCACTGCCTTCTGGGCTCTTTGAGGGTAAAGCACAGTAAACTCAGTTGTTGCTTGCAGGGACGTTTAAGTATCTCTTGACTGTAAAGGTGTTTTAAGGATCTGGCCTCTGCCTGTTTGTCCAGCCACATCTGAAGACTAAGTTTCAGTCTAGCTCAATTTCTGGTACCTCTCACCTCCATATGAATGTGGGTCTGGACCCAAACCCTGATCACTGACACTCAGCCAGTTCTGCTCACAAAGACTCTATAAACCTTACCCCCACCCCTGACATAGACTCTAGCCTTGACCTTAAGCCTTACATTTAACCTGACCCTCTTACCCTGACCCTGGCATACACCCTCACTCTCACCTTCATTCAGTTCTTTGACAGCCCCTTCCCCCGCCTCCCCTGCCCCCAGCCACTGGCCTGGCTTTGATCTTAGCATCGACTCTGATCCTCATCCAGACTCTGACCTCATTTGACCTAGAACTTAACCTTGTCTTTGAACTTGGCTCTCTTTCACCTTAACCATGACTGTCTAATTGATATTTATCTTACTTTGTTTCTCATGTTGACCCTGCTCCTCATGCTGACCATTAACCTGTCCTTCACATTCATCCTGATCTTGGCATCCCTGACAGTGATAGTTTCTCTCACACTGATCATAAACACTACTCTCTTTCACCTTAACCATGACTGTCTAATTGATACTTATCTTACTTTGTTTCTCATGTTGACCCTGCTCCTCATGCTGACCATTAACCTGTCCTTCACATTCATCCTGATCTTGGCATCCCTGACAGTGATAGTTTCTCTCACACTGATCATAAACACTATGATGAGACACTCAGCACCCTCAGTCTGATTCTAACCCTCAACTTGACTCTGCCCCTAGACTGAATCCTTACCTAGACAAGGACCCGCATACTGACCCACCCTGCCCTCGAACTTGTATCTTGATGCTGAGCTACAGTGTATGTGTGTTAGTCGCTCAGTTGTGTCCAACTCTTTGCGACTCCATGGACTGTAACTGCCAGACTCCTCTCATGGTGGAATTCTCCAGGCAAGAATACTGGAGTGGGTTACCATGCTCTTCTCCAGGGACCTTTCTGACCCAGGGATTGAACTCGGGTCTCCTGCATTGCACGCAGATACTTTACTGTCTGAGCCACTGTACTCAAGCTGAAACTGAAACTAGTCTGCTCCCCAAACCTGGTCATGACTCTGGCTCTGACACTCATCTTGACATGGACTCACTTGGCTGACAGTGCTGACACCCTAATCCCATCATGGCCTTGAACTTGACCCAGACCTTAACCCTGAAATTGAACTTTATGGTGACATAGCCCTTCATGATTATGGTGACTCTGATCCTCAACCTGATCATCACCTCCATCTTGACCTATCCTCATGTTGAAACTTAAGCCTGATTTTGACTATAAGCCAAACTCTGACCCTCTGTGGTAGGCAGACTAATGTTCCCCTAAAAATGCCCACATTCTATAAGCTATGAATATGCTATCTTACACACAGAAGGGATTTTGCAAATGTAATTGAAGGAGTGAGATATAAAGAGTATCCTGGATTATGCAGATTGGGCCAATGTAATGGGGGTAGAAGAGGGAGAGTTGGAGGACAACTTAATTCCTGCCAGCAGGAATAGAAATGGAACCCCACCTTGACTTTTAATTGACCTTGACTTTCACAATGTCGTGCTCACCCTGACACTGACAGTATCCTCACATTGATCTTGACCCTGATCTGACACTGATTCTAATTCTGAACATCAACCTCACCCTCAACTTGACCCTGAATCCTACTCAGAACTGGACATGCACTGTCAGCCTGAACCTAACTTTAACTTTCATCCCCAAAATACCATCTTTCTTATCCTGACATTCATCCTTTCACTGACCCTCTGCAGTGGAGGCACAACTTGATCATGATCTTGACTCTCACACATCTCAAACTTGAACTGGATTTTTTTTTTTTAACTGGATCTCGAATCTAACCCTGGATCTAAAATTTCCCTCCCACTGATCTTGTCTTGAAACTGATTCCAATGACATGATCCTGACCTTTCTCTTATCTTAACCCTTAACCTGACAGAATTTTACCTCGAACTGGACACTCGCCCCAATTTCTGATCTTCATCAATCTGTCCCTGATCTTACCCTCATCCTGTGACCCTAACTGCTCTGACACAGCTAGATCATGATCCTCATACACTAACTCTGATCTTTGACATGGTCATGATCAAGTCCAGAGTGAGGTCCGGGGTCAGGGCCAAGGCAGGGGTCATGACAAAGGAGACACTAGGTGAGGGCCAGTGCCAGGGTAAGAGGGAGGCTGGGGGGCTGGGGGGTCTCTGTGAAGGTGATTGTGAAGTCGAGAGTCACGGCTAGGGCAAAATTCGGGGTGAAAGAATGTTAGGGTGTGTCAGGGTCAAGTGCAGGTAAGAATAGGGGTGGGGTAGATGTCAGATGCTAATGAGGTCAAGGGCGATGATTAGGGTGAAGCTAAGAAAAGGGTCAAGGTCTGGGTAAGAGCCAGCACCAGGGCAAGGGCTCAGGAGGTACTCGGTGCAGGGGCACCGCAAGTTCCAGTGTAAGGGTCAGTGCAAGGGCGAAGGTCAGAACGAGGATAAATGTCAGTATAAGGCGGTGAGCGAGGTTCTGGGCTACTGTTAGGACAAGAGCAAGTGCCAAGGGGCAGCTCAAAAGCCTGTTGAAGACTAACAGAAGAGGAGCCGGCGTGCCTTTACGGCAAGGAGCAACAGCGCCACCGCTGGGCAAGAATTATGCCAGCCGGGCGGAAGCCGGCGGGCCGGGAGGGGCGCGGCCTGCGGGAAGAAGATCAGCTTGAGGGGCGGGGCTTACCCTAAGGGGGCGGGGCTCGGCCTACGGGGGCGGGAAGCGCAGCGAAGGCGTGACTAGACCCCGACGTCCAGGGCGGCGGGCGCCATGGAACCGCAGTTGGGTCTGCATGAACTGCTGCACGTCTTTTCCTTCTTGGAGGCCCGCGACCTGCTCTGCGCCGCCCAAGTGAACAAGGTAGCGCGTCCTGTCCCAGGTGGGAGGCAGGGCTGGGTTCATGGTCACTGGCGTGTCACTGCTCCATGGTCCGTTCCCTCTAGGCCTCAGTTTCCCAAATCTGTGAGGGGGCGTGCGGCGGCCCTGAATCCGCCCGGAATCAGCAGAGGATGCTCGTGGCCCCCAGGGTGGTGACCTCCTCAGCGTTTGAAGGGTTCAGTCAGAAAACCTCAACTCCTTCGTCCCTCCTTCTGTCTATAGTGTGTCCAGAGCTCCTGCCGGGTTGACCTGCACTGGGTACCTGTGACAGAATTCACCCCTAAGATTGACTTAGAGATCCCGCCTCTTCTGGAATGTTCTGGAAGTTCCCTTCTGGGGCCTGCCCGGAAATCCTTGCTCTGCCCGTGAGTGACACCTCCTCCTGCAGACTCGGGCTACCCCCCTCAGCCAGTCGAACTCCGTAGGGCTGTGTTCCATGAGTGCCTGTTGAATGCGGTAGTCTGGTGTGCGCTTCTGCGAATGTTACCGGTGTTCTGAGCACTTTCTCCTCTGTGCGCTCCCTCAGGACAGCTGTAACCAAATCATCGTACAGTGTTGTGTATTTGTTAAATATCTGCTCCTCATCCCCCTCCCTCGCTAGACTCATTCCTAAGAGTGGTGAATTTGTTTCTTGCACCACTGTGTTTAAAATCACTGTATAATCATTGTGTGTATACACTCAGTATATGGCTTGATATTTGTTTCTCAGTCGCCAAGTCGTGTCTCTGCAACCCCATGGACTGCAGCACGCCAGGCCTCTCTGTTGCTTACCGTCCCCTAGAGTTTGCCTAAATTCATGTCCATTGAATCCGTGATGCCATCTAACCATCTCAACCCCCTTGATATTTAGGGTCCTCAGTAAATGTTTGTCGAGTGAAATAATTTTTTCATTTTTAAAAATACATTATTATATCACTTTACAAAAGGTAAACAGACAGACCTTCACCTGCGTTGTGTAATTATAATTTAAATGTGTAGAGTAAAATACTGGGTTGTTATCCCCAGTTGTACCAGTAAGGTATTAGGGCTTCCCAGGTGGTGCTAGTGGTAAAGAACCCGCCTAACAGTGCAGGTAACTGTACTTGGTCAGGAACGAAGGTTTCATCCCTAGGTCAGGAGGAGCCCCTGGAGGAGGAAATGGTGACCCACTCCGGTATTCTTGCGGGGAGAATCCCATGGAGGAAGGAGCCTAGTGGGCTGTGGTCCACGGGGTAACAAAGAGTCAGACGCAACAGAAGCGACTAAGCATGGACCCACACCAGTAAGGAAAATGAGTATCAGGTAGTGAGTGCGTTGGCTGAGGTCACCCAGGTAGTCCGCCAACAGATTTAGAAAGGGAGGTGCCTTTTACCCTTTGATAGCGGCAGATTCTCTAGGTTCTGGTTCCCCTGTTAGGTAAAATGAGGTCAGTAAACACTGCCTCACAGTGTCATCATGAAGGTCAGGTTCTAACAGAGATTCTCAGAGGACTTGAAAGTGAAAATATTAGTCGCTCAGTTGTGTCTACTCTTTTGTGACCCCATGGACAGACTCCTCTGTCCATGGCATTCTCCAGGCAAGAATACTGGAGTGGATAGCCATTCCCTCCTCCAGGGAATGTTCCTGACCCAGGGATCAAACCCAGGTCTCCTGCATTACAGGTAGATTCTTTACCGTCTGAGCCACCAGGGAAGCCCCAAGTTGGGTAGCATCTATTTGTAGGTTTCATTACATATTATAGTTATTAGGGATTATAAGTATTAGGGAAATAAGATCTTGCTTGGGTTTTGAACTGGGAACTGTGTAAAAGGAGAATGGATAATCTTGCCAGGTTTGATCTTTGCAAAATATCAACTTTACATTCCTTCCAGCCAAAAAAATCCCCCCCCCCCCTTTTTTTTAAATTTGCCTGTACTGGTTCTCAGTTGTCACACACAGAACCTTCAGTTTTCACTGCAGCATGCAGGATCTAGTTCGCTGATCAAGGATCAAACCCAGGTCCCTGCATCGGCAGTACAGTGTCTTAGCGCCTGGACTACCAGGGAAGTCTCCAAAAAGACTTCTTAAGGGCTGAAATATTTTGCACTTGGATGAGTGAGGGCTGCAGAAGTAGGAGCCTGGGCTCAGACAGGATGGTGGTTACTTCTGCCAGGGCCGGGTAAGCCACACATCTGGATGGGAGCCTCAGTAGGTCTGGGCCACAGAAAGCTCCGGAGTGGTTTCCATGAGGATGGGTGGGCTCCTGAATCCAGGGTGGCCCAGCTAGAGAGGCCAAGAGGTTCCAGGATGCAGGTGTGGCCTGAGGGAGCGGGAGGCATGGCACTCTGATCCTGTTCCAGGGCCACCTGAGCCTCTTCCAGACATTTCTGCAGAGAGCAGTTTGTGGGAATAGGGCACATGTGCCCTCCCCATATAGGAGTTCCGTTCCGCCACCTTGACATCTCTGGGACATCTCTTTAGCCAGGGCCTTGATTTACTCCATTGCAGCAGCCTTCTTACGGGCCCTGCTGCTCTGCCTTCTTCAGTTCTTCCTTCTCATAGCATCTAGTGACCTTTCTGAAACAGTTTGGCTAGTCACTCTGCCGTTCACAATTCTCAAGTGACTTCTCACAGTTTTTGCCCTTCCAATGTTGGTCTAAGTCTGTCTCCAGCTCCTTTCTCTGTGTTCTGATTCAGGCAACCTGCTCATCATCTTTTTCACACTTGGGAATCTTTGCCGAGGTGGATGTCTCTCCCTGAAATTGCTTCAGGCATTTTCTTAGAGGACAGCCACTCATCCCTCAGGGCTTGATCCATCATTTCTTCTGAACCTCTTGGCCCCAGTTGAGTTGGTCATTCTTTCCTTCCTCATTCGTTGTTTGGTGGGTTTTATTTGATTGTCTGAATATGTCACCTCAGGGTGAGTGTTCTTGAATGCCAACACTGGATCTCATCAGCACTCTGTCGCCTCCACAGGGCCTGGAAGGCTGGGCATTGATTGCTTGCTGACTGAACAGATGACTGTCTTCTTTCCCCTCCTTTTCTAGGTCTGGAATGAGGCTTCAAGGACCAAGGAACTGTGGAGGTGAGTGAAGGAAAAACCAGGGCTCTCAGGAGAGAGTATACCTTGAAAGAGAGAGGGGTGGCCCTTTTTAGCACTCACTGAATTTCTGTTGAGACAGGAACAGACAATCCACAGCCCCTACCAGCAGGAAACTCCTCCCTACTTGGAGGAATAAGACTTTTCTTTAATAGTATATTGAAATAAAAGAGACTTTGTTAATCAATTGGAGGTTGATCTTGTGGGCGGGGGTACCAAACTCAGGGGCAGAAGTGTATAGCAGATTGAATGCAGCTGGCTGATAGACAAACTGATGGGCAGATAAGCCATTTTGATTTCATCTTTGCTCTAACGGCATTGTTCAAGTGGGTATATCTTTCCTTTTCTCCTTTGCTTTTCTCTTCTCTTCTTTTCACAGCTATTTGTAAGGCCTCCTCAGACAGCCATTTTGCTTTTTTGCATTTCTTTTTTGGGGGATGGTCTTGCTCCCTCCTGTACAATGTCACGAGCCTCCATACATAATTCATCACACACTCTATCAGATCTAGTCCCACAAATCTATTTCTCACTTACACTGTATAGTCAAAAGGGATTTGATTTAGGTCATACTTGAATGATCTAGTGGTTTTCCCCCACTTTCTTCAATTTAACTCTGAATTTGGCAGTAAGGAGTTCATAATCTGAGCCACACCCAGCTCCCAGTCTTATCTTTGCTGACTGTATAGAACTTCTCCATCTTTGGTTGCAAAGAATATAATCACTCTGATTTCGGTGTTGACTATCTTGTGATGTCCATGGGTAGAGTCTTCTCTTGTTTTGTTGGAAGAGGGTGTTTGCTATGACCAGTGTATTCTCTTGGCAAAACTCTTATTAGCCTTTGCCCTGCTTCATTCTGTACTCCAAGGCCAGAATTGTGTGTGGATCACAATAAACTGTGGAAAATTCTGAAAGATATGGGAATACCAGACCACCTGACATGCCTCTTGAGAAACCTGTACGTGGGTCACAAAGCAACAGTTAGAACTGGACATGGAACAACAGACTGGTTCCAAATAGGAAAAGGAGTACGTCAAGGCTATATATTGTCACCCTGNTCAGATCGTTTGGTTTTATTTCTTGTGAATATTCATCATGGTTCCTACTTATGGTTTGATGTATAATGGCCTTAAAGATGTAGAAACAGGCTTCACTTCCACAAAGAAACATGCTTTCTCCCTTTTTTTTCTTAAAACTACATTGTCTTCTTGGTCTAGTTTTTATTTTCAAACTGTTTAAGTTGACATATGTGTACAAGAAATTCCCCTTTCTGCTTATTTCATCTAAATGAAAATCAACAACATGAGAGTGATGATGTGAGGCAGCTGATATTCAGCTTCTTAGTTCAGGAGATGAAACGAATGGTGAAGGCCATGGTGCAGCTGATTCTTTTTTTTTTTTGACTGTGCCGTTCAGCTTGCAGGATCCTTGTTCCCCAACTAGACACTGCACTAAGGTCCTCAGCAGTGAAAGTGCAGAGTCCTAACCACTGAACTGCGAGGGAATTTCCTGAAAGCCCATTCTTATCTGAAGGGGACAGTTCTCTGTGGCCCCAGACAAGTTTTATCAGGTGGTAATTTGATTTCCATATAGCTAAATCTTCTTTTACCTGATTTGTGTGTGAAATTTGATTTTTAAGTGTGTGCAACCACTTCATGTAGGCTAGTCCTATGCAAAGGGATTCCCTAGTGGCTCAGATGGTAAAGAGTATGCCTGCAATGCAGAAGACCCGGGTTCGATCCCTGGGTTGGGAAGATCCCTTGGAGAAGGAAATGCCAACCCACTCCAGTACTCTTGCCTGGAAAATCTCATATACAGAGGAGCCTGGCAGTCCATGGGGTTACAGAGAATTGGACATGACTGAGTGACCTCACTTTTGCTTTCAGTCCTAAGCAGACCAGACAAGGTAATCTGGCTGCCCATTCTGCCCACAGGCTGTGAGTATGCTACTTCTGGTAGAATAAGCAGAGTTTCAGTGAGTACAGGGAAACCTGCATCCCACCTCAGCACTGGATCCCTCAAAGGAAATTGAGGCCTATGTAGGCAAAGTGAGTTGTCCAGGCTAATGTTAATAGGTGCTGAAACTGGGAATTGAAGCTAGGCCTACTGATGTCAAAACACCTTCTAATGACTCCTTTTCTGCCTGGGACTGGGGCCTGTGTTTCAGGCAGCTGTGTCTGAGACGCTGGTCCTCCTGTAAAGCCTCCCAGATGACCCTGGGCACACAGACATGGAAACAGTACTATCTCCGCCGATCTGAGCTCGAGTTCCGAATGGCATCTGGGCGGCCAGGGGACTTTACCTGCAGAGCCCTTGCTGGGCACAAAGGTATGGGGTGACAAAGTGGTAACTCTCTACATTCCCACTGCTTCCCTGGTCACGTCTCCAGGGATTTAGTCTTTCAGCCAGTTAGTTGGAAAGTATCCTCATATCTTTATGAGGATATGCCCTTGCTGGACTCTATCCTTGTTCTATGTAATTTGATCCTCACAGAGATCATGGCATCTGTTTCAGAGTAGAAAGAAGCTAGCATAAGGAAGTTGTTCCCAGTTACATGACCAGTGGGATGGCAGGCAGTCCTGGGCATGATACCCGGGTTGTAAGTCTGAAGCCCTAATTCTGTGTGTCCACCACTGTGCCCTGAATCACACTGCTTCTCAGAGAGAGAGAGGGGACCATCCCACCTCCCAAGCTGAATGTTCGTATCCTGAGCACCCACATGTGTGCTCAAGGCAAGTCTGTGTCCTCTTTCAGGAGAGATAGATAATCTGGCCTACGTCTCAACCAACGAGTACCGGTTTGATGGTCGGGAGAAGTCCGTGGTGTGCACCATCTCCTCAGATGGCACCGTGCGTGCCTGGGATCTGCATGAGGTGAGCTGCCTGGGAGGGGCCAAGATGAGTGCTGTGAATTCTGCTGTGTCCTCAGCCTTGCAGCCCTTTGCCTTTATTCTCTTTAACCATCACAGTCACCTTGTGAGGTGTGGGAGACCCATTGTGCAGTGAAAAGAGTGAGCCGCAGGAGGCTCAGTCACTGTGCCAGGTCACTCTTCAAGCTTGAGTCTGATCGATCGCAAATGCCCTTGACTATCCACTGCCCTGCCTCAGGGAGATGGGCATTTTCATAGTGCCTGATGGAGGCTGTTCATGGAAGGGGATGGCAGCTGGCTTGCCCAGTTTTGTGATGTCCACATTGGAGCTGATGCCGGCCTCTGGGTGGTTTTGCCCAGATAATGCAACTTCTACTCACCCATTTGCAAACTAAGTGTTAAAAACTTCAATAACTTATTAGTAATTTCAGACTTGGTTGGCACTGATAGTTAAAAAGTTTTCCTATCCATTTTCTCATTTGATTCCCATGGTAGCCATTATTAGTCACAGTATTCATTATTATTATCATCCTAATTTTATACAGGTTTAGACTGAGACAGAAAGGAAAGGCATCTGAGTTGAACCACGCGGTCACTTGCAGATAGATCCAGGGCTTCTGCCTGGGCCCATGGATCTTTTTCTGGAAAACTAGATAACTTGATGTTTTCAAACACACTAGACAAGAAGAGGTCCCTCTAGGGCCTTGCATTATTAAGTAGACAGACTTGGTGAGGTTGTTGCTCATCTTGTGCTATTGTTCAGGTTTGCTGAACGTGGCAGTTTCCTTCCACGTAAACTCCTGAGTAGGGCACCAGGAGGCCCTCCCTAACTTCCCGCAGATGGCCCCGTGAACAGGGCACTGTGGTCAGGGATCTCTTGACTTCTCCGTCCGTGTGGAAGCTGCATTCCTGAGTCCCCGTGCCTGCCTTGGGGGTTGCTCCTCTGCCCAGACTTCATGGTAGACGCCATGAGCGCCTCCCTAACTTCCCGCAGATGGCCCCGTGAACAGGGCACTGTGGTCAGGGATCTCTTGACTTCTCCGTCCATGTGGAAGCTGCATTCCTGAGTCCCCGTGCCTGCCTTGGGGGTTGCTCCTCTGCCCAGACTTCATGGTAGACGCCATGAGCGAGAATGGTGTGAACCGTGTTAGGTGATTGGGGTGCTTGGCTGCCAGTGAATGAGTGAGCCCGAAAGCCCTTCTTGGGCTTCAGCCCAGGATTCCGACAGATGCCAGATGACACACCAGGCCGTCTGAGGGACTCTAGAAACTGGGATAGGAACTTGGAAGGGGGGGAAGGTTGGGGACACAGGATGGGAGCAGTGAGAGGGCAAAGGGGCAGAGCAGTTTTGGAGTGAGTTTTGGATAGTTATAATTTGCTTTGATTTTCAATCATAAAACACTATCAAGTCTTTTATGTAAAAGGAAAAATGGGACTAAAAGATAATTCATGAGAGGTAAAAAAAAAAAAATTGCCTTTCCTTCCACTTTCCTAAAGTTATATTTCCAGAGGTAACCACTTTTTTATTCATTTCTGGTCTTATTAAATTTTATATTTTATTAATAGATTCTGTTTCATGGTCTGTATACTTTAGAGAGTATCTGTTGACTGCTTTAAAAATTACATTTTTAATTATTAGGAACCCTTTCGTATTCTCTGGTTATTATTATTATTTTTCTTTGTTTAAAGGATACAGTTATTTGCATTGTACGTCTTTCCTCCATAGTCAGTTTTTCACTTGTTTATCACGGATTTTTCTCTTCCATGTGCTTTGTTTTCCTCATATATATGCCATGATGTTTGACATAATTCTAAGGGAAGGTCTCTGGTGAACATGGGTGCATGTAGCTGGTTTCTGTCTCATTGCAGTTGTGTTGTCCTGAAAGAGACCTGCCTCAGTCTGTGGACATGAGACCTTGCAGGCTTAGTAGCTTAGGGAACTTGGGCAGGAATGAGACCCAAAGTCTGGGAAGTTCCATAGTTGCCAAAACAAAAAGATCTTGACTTGAATAGAAAGGGCTTTGGTGCAGGGATCAGGAGACCTTTCATTAAGACCTTTTCTTTGTCTAGTCAGCAGACCAGAGAGCAAATATTTCAAGCATTGTAAACCATGTGATTCTGCAACAACTTAACTCTGTGGCTGTAATGCAAAAGCAGCTATAGATAACAGGTAAACCAAAGGGAGTGGTTGTGTTCCAATATAACTATGGACACTCAAACGTGAGTTTCATGTTGTTTTCAAATGTCATGAAATGCTTTGTTTTTTTCCTTTAACTAAAATTCACAAATGGGCAGTAGGCTGGGTTTGGGTGCAGGCTGTGGTTGAACTCTGCTGTGGTCTGTTTATTACAGGGCTAGACCACTCTGCATCCATTCTCCTTGCTTCCCTATCTTAATCCCTCTTGTGAGCACATCGCCAATCTTACTTTATTTTTAAAAAGTTCAGTCATTCGGCTGGAGTCATGCTATATGTAGCCTATTTCCGTGCTCTGTTCCCATGATCACTGCTTTCGATTCTGACATGAGAAGGGGAGTTTCACTGCTACTTTGCCTACTTCCATACCCCTGGCCACTGGGGGGTAGTGTGTGGTCTCCGAGACCTACTTGACATGAGCCAGTCACCGGTGCAGAGTTTCTACTAGTGATGGTCTTGTTAGCTGTTCCAGCAACAGAAATCAACTGTTGATATGTTGACGTGAGGAGAGAGAAAGAAAAGAAAGGAAGAATACTGGGATATCATGACTAGGAAAAGATTGTGCTAACAAGATAACACCTGATACAAAAAGGACCATAATAACTACAAATTGGAAGGAAAAAAACCTTGTCGCAGCTCTGGAAACTGAAACAATGGCTAGAGGATTGGTTCTCTGATGCCCTTTGTTAATGTGCCGTGGGCCTGCTCTTTACCTCACTCTTCTAGCTTTCAGAATCCTGGGAGAGACTGTGGAGCTGGGAGTCAGCCCAGCTCAGACCAGTTGTTCTCCTCTGTGCTGATGGCCATGACGGGGCATGGACCTTAGCCAGGCCCGGCCCCTGGTAGCACCACTGGGCACCCCGATGGGAAGGGTGTGTTCTGAGCAGGGCACCTGCAGTTACCCAACAGAAACTGTGTGCATCCATGAGCCTAAATTAGCTTATCTGTAAACTTGGGCTCCCTGGGGACCAAGTGAGATGCTCTGTGTGGAAGTTCTCTGTATGCCGCCCTCTAGAACTCATGTCCTGAGTACAGCTCCGGTCCAGGGCAGGGTGGAGGGTAGTGTTGGTCCTGCCTCCCTGCCTGGCCTTCCTCAGTTAAGCCATAGTTGACCACTGGGAGTGCTTCAGACATCCCAGTGTGCACCCCAGGCCCCTCCTCCAGTCCTCCTGGCCATGGCTGTAGCCCCAGGCAGTCTCTGCACCCACGCTCAGCCACTGCTCTCCTCTAGGACAATTGTCTCCTTTGTGGTAGAACGTTACTTTTTTTTTTTTAACGAATTTTATTTATTACTTATTTAAGCTTTTGGCTATGCTGGGTCTCCATTGCTGTATGATCTTCTCTTGTTGCCAAGCAGGCTCTAAGGGTGCGCAGGCTTCCGTAGTTGTGGCACGAGAGCTTAATTTCCCTACGGCATGTGGAGTCTTTCTGGACCAGGGATCAAACCCATCTCCTCTGCATTGGCAGGCAGATTCTTAACCAGTGGGCCACCAGGGAAGTCCAGGGGAACATTACTTTGTGTAGTATCCCATATCGTGCTGTACATCCTGTGAGGATGGGGATCACACCCCTCATCCTGAATGTCCCCAGTGTGCCCTGGGTGATGGTTGAATGAATGAAACTAGTAAGTGTTTAGGAGATATATGAGCCCTGTGTGAGTTGTTACATTCATTTTGTTCTTGCCCAGGGCGTGGAGCTGTGGTCGAGCCCTGTACAGTCTACTCCTCTGGTGCATCTGGTGACCTACCCTCGGCTGCAGCTGGTTGTCACTGTGGATGAGACGGGGCTGATCAAAGCATGGGAAGCAGAGAATGGGTGTGAGCAAGCCGCCTTCTTGCTGCCCATGTATTCATCTACATTGGAGGCCTGTGACATTCCAGAGGGCCCCCTCTTGCTGGTGAGTAACCCGACTCCTAGGAGCCTCTCCTGTTTCCCAGCATCTGTGGACCTGGCACCAGACCACGTGTCAGTGGCGCCTCAAGCCAGGCCCTCCATGTGGCAGACCAGGTGACCTCGTCATTCTGCTTGGTCCCCCCCGCTCCTCCTTGCCTGCCATGTGGAGGGCAGACTCCACATCCCCCTTCAGTTCTGACATGCCATAGCCTGCTCCCTGGAGCTGTCTCTGCAACCTCTCACCCTCTCACAGTGAGGTCCAGCCCCATGGGCTGCCGGTGCTTTCCTGTCCGCATGCCCCTGCTTTCCTGTCTCCTGGTCCTGCTCATAGTCTTTCTTCTGCTTCTGGTTACTTCTCACTACTGCATTCTCATCCTTCTCTCCCCCTTTCAAGTCTCAGCAAGGGTCCAACCCAAAGGAAAACTGAGGCATGTTCAGTAGAATGCAAGCATTTGCCTGAGATGATGAAGGCCTTCTGTTGCAGGGACATTTGGTTTGGAGGTGATTCTTGGGTATCGTGAGGGAGCATTTGACCAGAGAGAAATGGTGAAAGTGGGTGTAAGTTGGCAGGTCAAGGATGTGGCTCTCACCTGGTGGCAGTATCCTCCTCCTGGAGGGAAGGAGGTCTTTGAGAGTGTGGACAAGCTGGCCTCCCAAATACAAAGATGAGCAGACACCCAGGAACAGTTTCATATGTAAAGAGGACTAATTCTATAAAGGAACTAAGCTCATGTACCAAAACAGTAAGACTTGATGGAACATATTTTATATAAATGACTCTATAGTTGTTTAAAGAAGACTTTGGAATAAGTGTAATTAATACCTCCAGAGCAATTTGAGAATATATTGTATAGAGGAAGAGGAAGCCAGTGCAGTTCTCTCTGGGGAATGATAGACCACATGACTCGCACTTCCTTGTTGGTGAAGGACAGTTAGGAAATTTAGAATATATATCAAGTCAGAGAGCTAAAAATAGCAAATAGTTTCTAGGCCAAGATTCAGTGCTGAGCCTAACGCTGGGGCTGCTTTTGTTCTGAAGATGTTTACTCCAAGGCCAAGGAGCTGAGTAGGGAGATAGCCAAGTAGATAGAGGTTGGCGTGCAGGGCCATCAAGGATTGGAGCCCTGTGAATCCTCTTACATTGGGTGTGTTATTGAATGTTGGAACCTGAGAGTTGTGGGGGAGGGTCTGAAAATAAACAGTCCCTGCAATGACTGCAGCTGCCCAGTTACCTGGTGGTAGTAAATGAAAATCCTTTCTAGAGAAAGATAAGACTCCCCATGCCTCTCTTTTCAAATACAGTGTTTAGCACTCCCTTAGAGATAAGTAGCCATAAGATAACATGACCTACCCAAGGCAATCTACAGATTCAGTGCAGTCCTAACCAAACTACCAGTGGTGTATATTCTTGGGCTTCCCTTGTGGCTCAGCTGGTAAAGAATCCACCTGCAATGCAGGAGACCTGGGTTCTATCCCTGGGTTGGGAAGATCCCCTGGAGAAGGGAAAGGCTACCCACTCCAGCATTCTGGCCTAGAGAATTCCGTGGACTGGATAGTCCATGGGGTCGCAAAGAGTGGGACACTGAGCAACTTTCACTTTCAGAGATAAGTAGAAATAAAATAATATGACCTACCCAAGGCAGTCTACAGATTTGGTGCAATCCTTACCAGACTACCAGGTTTTCACAAAACTAGAGCAAAAATTTTTTAATTTATATAGAAACACAGAAGACCCTGGAATAGCCAAAGTAATCTTGAAAAAGAAAAAGGGAGCTGGAGGAATCAGATTCCCTGACTTTAGACTATACCGCAAAGCAACAGTAATCAAAATAGTATGGGACTTGCACAGAAACAGGAATATAGATTAATGGAACAAAATAGAAAGCCCAAAGATAAACCCATGCACCAGTAGTCAATTAATCTATGACAAAGGAGGCAAGAATATACAGTGGAAAAAAGACAGTCTCTTCAATAAAGTGGTGTTGGGAAAACTAGACAGCTACATGTAAAATAATGAAATTAGAACACTCCCTAACACCATACACAAAAATAAACTGAAAATGAATCAAAGACCTAAATGTAAGGTTAGACCCTATAAAATTCCTAAGAGGAAAGCATAGGCAGAACACTCTGACATAAATCGCAGCAAGATCCTTTTGGATTCACCTTCTAGAGTAATGAAAATAAAAACAACAATAAACAAATGGGATGTAATTAAAAGCTTCTGCACAACAAAGGAAAAATTATCAACAAAATGAACAGACAGCCCACAGAATGGGAGAATAGTCCCCAAAGTATGCAAACAGCTCATGGAGCTTGCTCTCTGTCTCTCTCTCTCATATATATATAAACAATATATATATATAAAACAATAAAAAAATGAACAGAAGACCTAAATAGACATTTCTCCGAAGAAGACATTCTAAAAAGACCAAAAAGCACATGATAAGGTACTCAGCATCACTAATTATCAGAGAAATATAAATCAAAAGTACAGTGAGATACCACCTCAAACCAGTCAAAATAGCCATCATGAAAAAGTCTACAAACAAACAATGCTGGAGAGGGCGTGGAGGAAAAGAAATCCTCCTACAGTATTGGCAGGAGTGTAAATCGGCACAACCACTATGGAGAACAGTGTGGAGGTTCCTTAAAAAACTTAAAAATACAACTTAAAATATGATCCAGCAGTTCCACTCTTGGGCATACACCTGGAGAAAACCATTATCCAAAAGAATACATGTATTCTAAGTTCACTGCAGCACTATTTACAATAGCCAAGACATGGAAGCCATGGGTGGTGATATGAGTGTTTACTTTGTAATAATTTACTGAGCTCTTATGTTTACGTTTTGTGCCATTTTCTGTGTGTTATATACATCAATTAAGAAGTTAAGCATATAGAAGAATTAGTGAGCTGGAAGATAACAGTAATTCTGTAGAATGCAATGGAGATATCAGGAGTGGTAAACGTGAAAGAGAGGCTGAGAGACAGAGACCAGTGCTTCTCAGACTTGAATGGGATGTTATTTGCCTGTGGACCTCATTTAAATGGAGATTCTGATTCAGTGGGTCCTTGGGAATACCTGAGATTCTGAGTTTTTTAGGAACTTCTTGAAGATATTGATCCCGCAAGATCCTTTTGGATTCAGGTCACAGACCACACTTGGAGTAGCAAGGCCACAAAGGACCCATGAAAAATTTTAGTATTTATTTATATCTTAGGAGTAGATGAGTCAGGGTGAAACTGTTTAGTGTCATTTCATGGGGTTCCAAAGAGCCCTGATCTTTTATGTCTCCTCACAGAAAGAATCCAGCAAAAGGTTAAGTGATAGATACGTGATTTATTAGAATAAGGTGCTTACAAGCAAATGGGCGAGAGAGCGCTGTGTCCTGAGAACTTAGTGGGCTACAGTTTTATAATCAAAGGAAAAGTAAGGAGGAGGAGAAGGTCGTCTTTGTCTTTCTTGAATAGATGTAACGCTTCCATTATCAGTTCCTCCTCCAGGTTGAGCAGGGGAGTTTTCTTGTCTCTACATGGTCCAGCTAGGTCCACAAGTTACTGTTTTCGTGTGTCCAGAGAGCATGTCCTAGGGATCATCAGCTGACTGAGCTCCCTGGGCAGGATGTGGTCTCATGCCACCATTGGTTTGCAGTTTTGGGGGCATGTCTCATGCTTCTGTCGCTAAGCGACCCAGCTTGGTTTTGAGGTTAACCAAATTTGCTTTCTTGAGTGATCATTAACTCCCAGGGGTCTCCCCAATTTTTTAAACTTACAATCCCCTGGTGGGAATTAACTATTTTATGACCTGCTTTGTCCCTTTACTCTTTCCCTATCAAGCTGGGGGGTGGGGGTGGGGACATAAGAAACGTTTGACAAGATGTATTTTTCCAAAATAGACTAGGGACATTAATCCATGAAGGTCAAGAAGGTCCTGCAAACCCTGAGCAAGGTAAATAAAAATAAATCTGCACATAGACCCATCAGAGTGAACTGAGATAATTGAAGACTAAGACAGATCTATTTAATAGCAGTGAGGGGAAATAAAACTACCTTAAATGTAATAGTAATGAGACTGCTTCAGGCAGTGGGAGAATGATCACAGGTGAATTTTCAGAAGAAGCAGGAAAGATTGTTGAGCAAGAGTCATGGTAAATCTTGGGAAATCTAAACGAATATCACCTGTATAAAGCAGCAGCAACAATGCCTTGTGGATTTTATATGTAGAAATAAAATGAATGACTTCACCATTTAGGTTAGGAGAAGGTTATGAGGAACTAGGTCTACTAAGCTCCTTGAATTGTCCAAGATTAAATGTACCTGTTAGTCATATACTTTATAAGGCAGTTTGCAAACAGTTGTCTCTCACCTAACTCCCAAAATAGTATACAGCAGGTAGCTTCTAAATCATAGGAGGAAGATCAGTGTGTCTTGTGGTTTCCCTCTAGAGGCAGGATCAACCCCGACCCAAAGTTTGGCTTGGTTATTGTCAACTGAAAAAAAAAAAAGTAGCACAACCTAGAAGTTGAGAGTTTTGTTTTATTCAGCAGACTTTCTGAGGTTTTCGCATCTCAGATGACCTTAAGAAAACGGTTCCGAAGAGGCAATGGTGGGGACCCAGGATATATAGGATTTTTTTGCAACAAATGACCAGGTGGTTGGATCAAAAGATTACTATTAAAGAAAACCAGATATGATATCTCAAGGAATTTAACACTCTTCTATGTATGGGAAAATGCAAGAGTCTAGGCTTACTGAATTGTTCCTTTGATATGCACCTTCCTTTGATGTGGGCTTCCTTGTGGCTCAGCTGGTAAAGAATCCGCCTGCAATGTGGGAGACCTGGGTTCGATCCCTGGGTTGGGACGATTCCCTGGAGAAAGGAAAGGCTACCCACTCCAGTATTCCTTCTGGAGAATTCCATGGACTGTATAGTCCATGGGGTCGCAAGAGTCGGACACGACTGAGCGACTTTCACTTTCATTTTATGAACCTTCACTGTC